CCTCCCCCCGGGCGGGGCCGCCCGTGAGTCCCAGCCCTGCGGGAAGCGGGGGATTGGTGCTCCGCTACCGCTGGGAAGGCCGCCCGGAGGGGCGCTCGGCGCCCCCACAGTTTTTGCCGCCCTCTTTCCCTCCGTTTGAGAATTTGCGCCTCATCCGATTTAGGAGTTGTTCGGCGCCACCTGAGGTTCCTGGGTGTGCGCAAGTTTCGTCAGCCAGCGCCGGTTGTCTCTAGCCAGGCCCCTCCGCTCGTGGTCGGGCATATGGCACGGTACACCCAGCGCAGCTCCCCGCGTCGGCCCGCCCAGCAGTGACCCCTGTGAACACCGTCATCGGGCGGTTATTGGCAGCGCAGGTGGCATCTCCGAACACCTCTCTTCATGGACAGGAGAGTGGCTGTACCCTCCTTCCTGGAGCTGCGGTTATGTGGGCATGTTTGCAGCTGGGCAATCCCAGCCACGTTTTAGGTATACTGAATCTCTAGAGGTACTGAATCCCTAAAACAGATACTACAGAATATAAGTAGAGGAAATGAAAATGATCAGGTAACATGAAAGCCAGATTGAGACTTGGATGTCCTCAGATACAGGGTGGCACTTTCTTCACCCAGATTATCAAGAAAAACAAGCCAGTAATGACTTTGAAAGATCCTGGGACAGAATGACAGCGGAGTCAATGGGGGAGACAGGTAACAAAATTGCCATTCCCCTTTCTGTTTGCCTCACTGCACAAATGGAAAGGTTCTTGTGAAACATCTCAATTGAGACATTTCAAGCCCCAGCCGTGATGTCAAACAACATCACAAGAGGCTGAATAAAATCCACCCTACAATATTCTAGAAAAGTGGACAAGGTATTCTGGAAAATAAGTCACAGGCTACCACTGACATCATAAGTAAATACACATTAAGATGTTAGGAGCAAGTAATCTGAAAGGTGCTTTTTATACATACTCTTTTACTGTTGATATGTGACCTGAATTCCCACAGGCAATCAGAAATCTGGGTCCTCTTGCAAGATTGTACTAAAGCTACCATGAACCACATTTGGTAAAGCATCAGTATGGATCTCTTAAAAAGAACATTGGTCTGCATCTGAAGAAAAAAAAAAATGACAATATCCATAGATACCGGGTTATCTAGGAAAATACATAATCCACTAGTGCCCAGGTTAATCTTAGAAAATACACAGTCCAAAACCAACCAAGTTATTTGAGAACATGCAGTCCAGAAGATGAGCAAGTCACTTAAGAGACAATAATATATAAATGTATAGCACACAGAATAGGTGCATATAAAAACACAGAAAAAAAAATCTTCTGTGGGAAACTCAATTATCCTTGTCTATAGAAGGAATTACATAATTTAACTGCAATTGAAGTTGACTCCTGGTAATAGTGTAGATGGAGACACATGAAGATTGGATATATAATACTCTAGAAAGTTTATACAACTCAGTTGTTTAAGGTGCTGTGTTTCTTCAGCACTGGGTATGCAGGACCCATCAGCCTGACACGCTGTATGAACTGTACTGCTGTTTATGTAAGTACTGTTTTCTTATCACTACGGGAAGCTATATTGCATTACCTATTCTCAGGTTTTCTAGGTTGTATTTGGTCTGGTAACCTCTTCAGCTTTGGTGTGACTTTAATCAGGATGCAACAACAGGAAACAAGCAGAATGGAGTCTTAACCTTTCTTTAATTCAGACTTTTGAATCTAACGGTCTTGATTTTATAACATAAAAAAATCTATATACCACTAGCAATTTAAAAATAAAATACAGCTCATAAAAATAATTGGGTTTTTTCTTCTAGTTGGAATTCCCCAATGGGAGCAAAATTACACTACAGATATTTATGAAGTTAAGATCTGCTTATATTAACCATGGAGCTGAGGTTGGTCTTCACTCAGGAAAACACTCATCCTGAATTGCTAATTGCTATTTAAGTAATTACAGCTAATTGCTTTAGTTTATAGGTCAGCATGACTGACTTCCGGATTGCAAGTACTGCCATAGCACTTAAGTGCCCTATCACCTTTATTCCAATTTTTTTTCCTATTCCTTACAACTGCAGAAATACCACTTTGAACTAAGTTTTTCTGAGATGTGCGGTTAAGTATAGCCTCATACCCTTCAAATTACAGATTTATGTTTTAATTGCAAGAGAAAAAAACCTCCATAATATTTTACACCCTCTGAGATAAGTCTCAAAATTTCATTTCTAGTTTGTGATCTGATCTGTATAATTGGGTTTAGATTTTGCTGCTTCTGCATCACGCAGTTATTTTAAATGTCTTGTGCCAAATCGAAGTTCTTTGCCCAGGTGCACAAAATTGGAAGACTTTATTATTATGCAGTTCTTTTAATAGCAGCATGGCATTTTTTGCTGATCAAAAATACAACAGTGAACAGGGTTTCCTCTCTGCTGTTGTCTGATGAGTAGTCAAAAATGGAACATGATGAAAAATGGCCTTGGCTAATGAAGAAATACAAATTATTGGATAATATGGAAGGAATCATAACAATTTAACATTATGTCTGCAAGGTCTGATAGGTTTTGGTGCCATAATAGCTTACCAGATACTGAACCAATACAATGAGTTTATCTGCCCAAAATAATACATGTATCAATTTTTACCTTGATTCACAAAAATTACTTTAAGACACAATACTGCAGCTGTATGCATGTCAGCAAAAAAACACCTTTCCTACCTTCCACACTGAAAAATACATCTAATATATATGCTATCTCTGGCATTACTTCAGAGTTCAAGGAGTATTTTGGTCTAAAACATACATATGTTCAGAATACGTGGGGGTTTTTTAGGAAGGTGGAAACAAATGAGAGTTCTATCACACATGGAATTCAACATTAAATTATTTCTTATTCTCCAGATAAACCTTTTCATGATGCATTTAGGAAGATTGTTCCCATGTTCAGGAAAAAGGAGAGAACATGGTGCTTCAGTGTGGGTCTGGCCTTGGCAGAGCAAGAAGCAACTGTTTCACTTGCAGACAGGATACCAGCCCTGCTTCTTTGAAATGCCACCTATCCACACCTGCAGGAAATCAGTTGGAAGGGCTGTTTCCAACAGGCAAGCTCAAAACAGACAACTCTTCATAGGAAAAGCTGTTTTTCACCACCAAAGTTCATTCATTCATGGCTTGTAACAGCTTAATGTGTATCAGTGTACTGACTGCTTACTTGAGCATCAGGTGGCAGGCCTGGCTGAAGCGCTGCAGATTCTGTCATTCAAAATGAAACTGTTTGCTAAAAAACACTGATATAGTCCTTAAAGTATAATTGCATCAGTATGGCACATTACTCTCTTTCAAGTACAATGTCTGGATTGCAAAATAAACATTTTTTTTTCCTTTTGTTGTGTCTGTACTTGAATTTGTCTTCAATTTCAAGTTTAACACGCACAAATTAGTCCGATTACAAACAAAATGTGAGTTGTTTGATCTTGCTTTGCACCCTTTAAATCGAATTTTACTTTGTGTACCTTTCAAAAATGCTTTATTCACATGTCTCTTTTGAAGAACATGCTACTTTTGTAGGAAAGCAAGTCATCTCGAATTGCTTCCTTAATTAGGAAAAAAAGTATTTTCAGCTGCTCTTCACTGATTTTAATACAAGGTGCAAAGCTTTTGATTCCTAAGAAATGTCAGATTCAAAAGACTGACAAAATTAGAATGCTCTTAAGAGACTCCAAAAGCATTGCTTCAAACTAAAATATGACATTTAATCTGATATGGAAGACAAATGTAACTATATGGTTAAACAGAGCAGAGATTCAGCTAAGGGAATCCCAGCAGATTGTCAGTTCCTGCATAGCAAAATATTAATATACACTGTTTATGCAGTACTCAATACTTTCTCATTTAGGAGAATATATGAAACTTTATGCATTGATGAAATAAGAACGGTTAGTGCAGCAAAATGAAGACTTACATATCTGCCAATTCAGACACAATTTCTGCTTTTAGAAGTAGTCCAACTTTTAGCTTCCTCTAAACAATTCTAGATGTACAGTCTACCTTAGTCTTAATCTTTTTAAACAACTTTTGCCCCAAGTGGTCATCTGTTTGTGCATAGGAAGAAAGGGTTTTTTCTTGCCTAGTACATTGATGATCTATTTTCTGATGAGCTCTTTCTAACTTTGTAGAAACTTGAAATGTCAGTGATCTGAGCTTTACTACCTCCAAGAAAATCAACCAGATATCACTGGTTTAAACCACTGGAAAACTGTAGAGTCTTCTGGCTGGACACAGATAGAGTAAAGCTTTGCAGTTAACAAATGACTATTTTGCAATTGAGGAGGAGAGAGCCTAGAACAAAGCACAATTTGCTCTATGGCAACTGCAGTGGGTGTTCTGGGCCTTACACTGAGTTTCAGTATCAAAACTGAAAGCAGTAAGATCGTTTGTCTCATGAAGACTTTATCTTTGTGTGCAAGTAGCACAGAGGGCGGCTGTCAGAAAACTAGCCTGTAAAACTTGTGCATCCAGCCACACACCCAGGATGAGCACTCAAGCATAAAATGGTTAAGTCTGCCCCTTTGAGATAATGTAATTGTGTGAGAAGTAACTTTTTGTGCCACTCTTGAAGCTTTTTGCTGGTTTTGGCACCTATCTTAGCACAAACATAGGGTACAGTGACTTGCATGTATAAGTGTGGGGCCATCAGATAGGGCCAAAGCCATAGAGAACTGACAGGCTGGCTAATTTTTGATGCAGAGGGAGAAGAACTAGAACTAGACCCAACAGGACAGGCAGGCAGGGAGAAGAAGCTGTTGGGTTAAAATCTGGATCTCAAGTCTTCTATTTGAAGAAAGTACATGAGGGGCTAAGTGTTGACGAGAGATTAAAGGTTAAAGCAACAAGAAACATTTCACATGACAAAGGATCCGGAGGGGATAATAGGCTCAAAGACAGTAGAACCTTGCAAAAACAGAGGTAAACTGCGGTGGGCGGAGGAAGCAAGCAGCCGATTCAATGTGAATGATAGAGCAAGCTTCAACTTTATTGAAAGAAATCACACCTTATATAAACACTCTACAATACACTACTTGCAACTTTACTGGATACATTTAAGAAACTACATTATAATATCTCAGCCATTGGGTACATCTAAAAGGTCACATTATAATATCCCAGCCCCTCGTGGCATCTCTGGTATGCATAAACATCTTTCTTGCTGTGACCCTGCTTCCCTCCCAGGGCTGTTTTCCTCTCACCCCCAAGGTCATAATGTGCCCCAACTTATCTCCCTGTTCTCACAACAGTCCCTGTTAGCATCACTGTACCCTGGGTTTTTTCCTCTGTTTACCTTAGGTGGCTGCAATCAGCTTCTGCAGGGAGCTATGGCCTTGCTCTCTGCAAGCCGTTCTCCAACAGTAAACCGTGAATTAAGGAATAAGAAAATTCACTTTGTCATGTACTCGGAGATAGCACAGAGAACACCCAAGATGTGTTCTTTAGAGGAACTGAGCTCATTATAATGAGAAAATCACATCTCTTGATGACAAGAAGCCCCCTACTCGGCTAAGACCCCCACCCTTTGAGTTTGCACAGAATAATAAACTGACACTGTAACTTTAAATTCGAGATGAGGCAATGTTGTTAACCAATGAGTAACGAAGCGGTGAGAAACTGGCCAATGGCCATTACAGTGAAAGTGTAGTTTGAAGTGTGTAAATATGTCACTTGCCAGCGTGTGGTGGGCTAGATTTGTGGAATTACCACCTAGTACCTATTTCTGCGCAAGATATGGACTAAACATAATGTCGGCTTTGTGTAGTTTTCGGCTCATTGCACACCTAGTAAAAGAACCCATATTGTGAGACAACAGCGTGGGAAGGCTGGAGGTGCCCGATACATGCAGCAAGGAGACAGGCAAAAACGGGACCAGAGGGGCACAGCGTCAGAAATGGTGGGAGAGGTGTGAGCTTAATACTGACTGGTAAACAGGCCAGGAAAAAGTAGATATGAAGGACAAGGGGGGTAGGGCGAGGTCTGAATTAGCAGTGATCGCAGGGGGGGAAAAGGAAAAAAAAAAACAAAAACAAAATAAAGGCGGCCAAGTTGCAGGTGAGAAATCTACAGACTCAAGAGACCGAAACCGTGGGGGTTTTTGGATAGTTTGTTGGGGGAAGTCAAGGCATTAAAAAAAAAAAAAAAGGCGGGGAGTGCACGGGGAACAAGATCGGCTTTGGGGTCGGCAACAATATGGGGAGGCTTCCGTAACCAGGCTTGTGGGGTGGGAGAAACACAAAGAGACCAGCGGAGACAAACACACCCGCCCATTTTACAAATGAGTAAGGCGGTAATTAGCTACCTGCAGCCTGGGGATGGGGCCGCGTTCCCGGCTGGGACGGGCTCCGGGCAAGGCCGTGGGCTTAAGCGATCGTGAAAACAAACGGCTCTGGGCGAGCTGTTACGGCCGAAGGGGCGCATGGCCCCTGGCC